AGTGCAATAAAAACTGATGTACCACTCACTGTGCCATTCTCAAGGTGTGTCTTTCCTCATCTAAGTCCTTTCTGGCCTGCTCTGTTTCCTCTTTTTGTAACTCAATTGCTTGTTTACTTTTCCTGAGTTGATCTTTGAGTTCTTCTCGATCTGCTTTGTATTCCAGAGCTCTTGTAAGCTTCTCTTTATTTCTTGAGAGATTGTTTTTTAGCTTTTCAATCTCCTTTTCATCTGTAATTGAGATAGCATTGATGAAATCATTAAACTTTAACATAATTCTAACTATTAAAAGTTGTCATTTGAGGGTTACATACGTATGATGTAAAAGAATTATTTTATATCAAAGACAATACATCATTTACAGCTTCAAATACACGTACCATTCTCTCGTCATATATATTTCATTCAAAAATAAGTTTTGTTTAATTATAATATTTAAATACTGCTGCAGCTCTAGCTTACTTTCTTTAATCTTGTCCATTGCATCCTCATAATCGACTTTGTATTTTTCCAGAGTATCCTCTCTGACACGGTACTGTGGCAAAAATATAAAAGAACTGTCAGTAACTGCACAACAAATGCATTCCTAAGTGGCACAGCCCTCAACCTTAAAAAAAGTGCCCCCATGAATAAGCACCCACCCTTCAAGCCTCTGACTCAAAGATTGATGCCATGATCATGATAGAGGAAATGATTGCAAACTCAAGAGGCTCTTGTTAATTAGACAAATTCTTCTTGTAACGGTAAGTACCACAAGAATGCATAGACAACAGTATGGAGAACTTGCATACTGATTTTAGGGTCTAAGGGGTTAAAGGTAATAATAAAGGTAAAGTCTGTTTACAAGCCCATTGGCCCATTAGGCGGGTGCTGTACTTCAGTTTCTGTAGCATGAAGCAAGTAAGAGTATTTCTAGTTCCCCATGGATGGGATGCTAAACCATCCCAGGGTTACCCTCTAGCATAATATAAGGTTCTACAATATTCTTTGCAACCTACCACTTTGTCAACAGCTTCCAAAGCTTTTACAGCCTCTTCATAGTCTGCTTTGATCTTTTTTCTATCATCATTGACTTTGATCACCTTTTCCTCCAGCTCCCGGATCCTTTCCTGAAGTTTTCTCTGAGCTTCTTTTGTAATTTTCTGCTCAGCTAATGATATCTGAACCTCTTCCAGTTATCTTTTCTCATTATTGAGCTTCTGCATTGGACTTTCTTGATGACTATTATGTCTCTCAGCATGAGTCAGTTTAGTTTGAAGTGTAGAGTTTTCGTGTAGAAGTTTTCGTTCCTTTTCGTGAGCTTCTTTTAGTTCTTCCTGGCTCTTTTTGATTTTTGCTGCCAATGAGGACACTTCACTTTTAAGCGATTCATTCTCCTTTTTCATGTCACTGGCCATCCTTTCTTGATCACGCAAAGAAGATCGTGACCTGTTCACATCCTCCTTGGCATCCTCTAGCTGTTGTTCCTTGCTTCTGTTCTCAGCCTTTAGTTGTTCCACAGCCTCTTTTGAGGAAGACATTGTTTCTTCCTTTTCTTTTTGAGCATTTTCTAGGCCTTTCTCTAATTCTGTAATTCGTTCTTGAAGTTTGGAGATTTCTTCCTTTAGTTGAGTAATTAGCTGATCTTTTTCTTGTGCCTCAGCATTACTACTCTCAAGAAGATCAGCTGTCTGGTTTGTAATAGCTTGTTTGTGGGCTTCTTTTTCTTGATTAAGTTGATCTATATGTACCTTAAAAAAAGATAGAAGACACCATTTAATTGCAATTGTTTTTAAGTTAAATTTTCTGTTCAAATGAACTATGTTAAAGTGAAAGCTCCTACTTGTAATTCATTTGTATCTGTCATTTCCTTCTACTGCCTCAAAGAGTTTAATATTTGAGGATTTAGGCAGAGGTTTCAATAGAAGTTGGTTTCCAGCACCACCTGCAAAATCTCTCACCACTGGCTGTTTAGTGTTAATTGAGCAGGCTATAATGTTTGGGTTTTGCCTTGGGTTTTGCCTCATGGCAGTGAGGCCTATATATCACATCATTGACAGCAGCCTTTTCAAAAAGTTATTGAAACGCAGGCTGGTTCAGGTACCTTTTTGTGACAGAGTTAATTTCATTGCTTGTTTAAATATATATCGCGCACATAAACCTGTTATTTAAACAAAGTCTACTTTAGGCTGTGCAGATTTTAGACAATCAACAGACCTCTAGATCAGCTTTAATTATTACCTCAACTTTTTTCTTCTCTTCCTCTATGCTTTTCTCCAGGGACGAGTTTCTTGCTTTCAGATTTTCATTCTCACTTGTTAAGCTGTCTATTTTATTTCTAAGTTCCTTGATATCTTCATCTTTGTTATTCTCTTTCCTTCTTTTCTCATTGAGTTCCTCCTCCAAAGATGATTTTTCCTTTGACAAACTCTCTATTCTCTGTGTCATTGTTTCATTTTCTCTCTTTAGTCTATCAAGTTCATCTTTCACCTCATCTTTTTCATTTGCTTTTTTGCTACTTTCCTCTGCCAGTTTCTCCTCCAAAGATGATTTTTCCTTTGACAAACTTTCAATTTCTTGTGTCATTCTTTCATTTTCTCTCTTTAGTCTATAAAGTTCATCTTTCACCTCATCTTTTTCATTTGCTTTCTTGCTACTTTCCTCTGCCAGTTTCTCCTCCAAACATGATTTTTCCTTTGACAAACTTTCAACATCCTGTTTCATTTTCTCATTTTCCTTCTTCAGTTTATCAATCTGATCTTTCAGCTTATCATTCTCATCATCATCTTGTTCTAACCCTCCCGATCCTGTTTCTTTTTTCTTTCTTAATTTCTTTTTCTTTTTCTCTTCCCTGCCATTGGCCTCTTCAGAACTTGAACCACTCAGTGTAGTCACAGTATCTACTTCTATTTGAGGAATGATGGAGTCTGGTGCTTTACTTCCATCCTTAGATTGACTCTGCATTTCTGCCAAAGGGCTCTCACTTATCTTTATCTTACTTGCTGGCAAGTTTGAAATTGGTGCTGCATCGACCACATCAAACTCATCATCACTAGCTTCCTTTCTTTGTTCTTCTGTCTGTGCAATAGTAGAGTTGTCCATTTTCAATCCAGGCCCAATTGATATTTTTACTGTCTTTTTGTTCCTTTTTGGTATTCGATAAAACCTGAAAACAAGTAACACAGATGAAAAGGGAATGTGAATAGTCATAACTATTTGTAAATTAGAGTCTTAATCAGCACAGTACAGATAAAAGCACATATGATTGAGTGTTGCTGGTGTTTTAAAGACAGAAGTCAACTCCACAGTTTGTGAACAATTCTATGAGCACATTTTTCCTCAGTAAAAATGTTTAGGTCTGGGATCTAATTTATCCTATGCCCATGCCATAGATTTCTAACAACTACTAGCAATGGAAATTTTCCCCTTCAACCCAACCCTCCCCCCCCCCTTCACGCATGTGATAGTCCACATCTTACAGTGATTCAACACGGCCATAACAAGATCGATTGTTCCCATAGACCTCATTAAAACCTGATTGAAATAATTTGCCTGATATTAGCTAAATTAACTAAAAACTCAGTTCACAAATAACAACAGCATTTGAAAGTTGATTTAAAGAATAATTTGCAGCAATCAAAACACGAAACGAAGCAAACTAATGCTTTGGATGTGCTCAACACAGGCTTAGTAAGCTTCTGTGCAGAAAATCGCAAACACAAATGAGAAAAAGATTAGATTACTCGTCTCAGATGTCCACTCTCAATTTGTACTCTCACAACTCAATTTAAGCAGTCAATAGGTAAAAGAAAGTTTAAGATCACTTTCTAATTCACAGTATTCGTGGTTTAACTGGTTTCCTAACTAGGCATTTGAACTTTTAAAACTGATAGTATATATACATATTGCCTTTGGCAAATAAACTCTGTTTACTAAACACTTGGATTCCAATGATCGCTACTGTTCATATGACAACTTTACGACTTCACTCCACTTTTCCATTCTTTTGGACTTCAGTGACCGCAAATATAAACAAAGTTACCTGCACCAGTGAAACTGCTCTCGCTATCGTTATATTCACGAACCTCTTCTTGGGCTTCTTTAAAAGCCTTTTCTACCAAATTTTCGCCAAACAGAAACAAGTTTACCGAGATTCCAGATTCAATTATATCCGTTACATTCGACTGTAATACTAGTGATTGCCCAGTAGAACTTTCCATATCGAACGAAAAGCTCGTCTAAGAAAAGCGGACATCTTGGTTTCAAAGCTCTCTGCACAACAAGTGGCAAAATTACCTTTTCAAATCAGTAACTATAGCATCACATAGTCATGGAACATTGATCAAGCGACTTTTGTAGCTGTTTAGAAGCTCTGCGGTCGCTTAGTAACCACACTTTGCGCCAATATTAACTTATTAAACGAAGTACCTCTAATTACCATTCACAAGTTAGTTATTTTTCAAAATGGACATCCCAGTCAAGAGGGCAAATCGAGATAAGATGTTAGTTACTGAATCAACAAATAATGGAAATACAGTCCGAAGTAATATTTTAGATGCGCTGAAAGGCAACCAACCCCACAGACCCCTCCCCTCCTCTAGAGCAAGAACAAGGACACCTTGATCGGAACGAAAAAGACTGGAAACAGTAAGAGATCTAATATGGCGGCTTCCCGTGGTCCGCTTCGCCTAAGATGGACTTTACGGGTTTTGTCCAACACTCATTCAGCTGTACGCAAAATAGGTGCCTCAGCTTTCAACAGAAATATCTTTAGAGTAGTATTATCGACACAGAGACGATTTTTTAGTGCAAAAGCACAGCCAGAAGAAGTTGACACGAAGGTGGATTCACCAAGGAATCTACTAGAAGTTTATGAGGTAGAACCTACTTTACTGCAAGGTCCCAGGAAAAAGCCTATTTCTCCAGATTATGTCGAACAAGAAATTAAGAAATCACGAAAAATCCGATCTAGGGTTCCTGTGTCTGTAAATCCTGCGGAGGCTCAATGGACTCCGGACTCTAAACGAGTTGGGTTGGTAGGAGTAAAGTTGGGAATGTCTTGTTTGTGGCTCAAGGATGGAACAAGGAAGCCTGTCACCCTGGTTGAGGTAATAACGGCTTAGTAGTTTAATTCAATTTACCTTTTTCACCCCTCTGGCTATTATATTAGAAACTTACAACCAGTAATGATAATAATGATTACTTACAACCAGTAATAATGATAATAATGATGATGATGATAGTATTAGTATGTATGAACTATGGGCTAAACTTCAGAATACCCGGCCACTCATTTACATGTCATTAAATAAGAATAGCGTCTATTGTGTTATGCCTCATTCTTCAAAGCCTCCCGACACATGTAAATGATGTGGACGGGTATTCTGAAGTTGCTCGGAACTATGTACAGTGATTTTTTTTTTCTTAAATTAATATGTTGTTTTAGTGGGAGGACATGACACAGAAGATGTTTACAGTTGGTGACACAGATATGTTTGAAATGATAATGATATCGATATTGTTAATAGTTACAATAATAAGAATAATAATAATAAAAAATATATATATCCATGATGATGGTAATGAGAAATCTTTGTAAGAAACTTGACAAAAATATGAGGGGTAAGCAACACTCGCATACACTTATAATTAGTCATTCTTAACGTCAGATACTGATACAGGCTCATTTGCTATGCATACCACTGCATAGTTACTGAGCCTGTATTATTTGCAGGCTCTACTGTTACTTTTTCTTATTCTACACCATTAACTATTTTGGTTTTGAAGCATAACGTCATATCATTAGGACACAAAGAATTTTGAAGGAAGAATAATAGACAAAAATTGATTTATTTGGGTGACCTAGACCCAAAGAAATTGGGGGTCAGAATTGAAGTAAGAGTACATGATATGTTGCATTATATACGAATCATGGTTGAACAGAGTGATTGCAGTAGTTTTTCACTTTTCAACATTTATTCAAAGATCAAGGACTGTCAAGTTGTTGCAACAAGAATCAGCAGAGACCTCGGTGGTAGAGATGATTCAACAGAGCTTCAGGTTGGAGCAGTAGAAGAAACACAGCTGTATAATGTGAGTAAAGTAACTTCCTATAATCTGATTCATGATTGTACCTTTCCGGTGCTATAATACGCTTCCTTGTAAATAAGTTTGGTGAATCTTTTGTTACAGTTTATCATTACTCTAGCTGATATGTTTGTCTTTTCTCATCAACTACTTGGTTCTTTATCGAGAAGTTACTTTTTATTCACTTGTGAGAGTTAAATGGTCAATAAATCAGCAAATTTCAGTAACATGTTTGCAAATATCATATACAAATTTTCCTAGTTGCAACATGAGAAGATTGTTTAAGACTAGTTCTTGGTTAGAGTTTGGATGGTAATTAGGAGCACAAAATTATGCAATCAAGTATAGATCAAAAGAACAGAATTGGAAGCAGGTTGCTAATACATGTACTTCTAAAGACTCTGGCTATAATTTAGTGAAAACAGGATTTTTGGACATGCAAGAACTCAAGGGCCATGAAAACTATAAGAAGAGTGATTGGACAGTTTTTCCCCTTTGATTCCCACCCTGATAATAGAATATTCACTTCATCCTAAGTGTTGGACACATAAGCAGGATTAAGAGAGACAATAGATGTATTCTCATAATTATTTGTGACTGCAATTCTTTGAGTCTTGTACCATAATTACAGCTTCCAATGTTCATCATGTAAGGCCAAAGCAACCACAACTCCAGCTGGGATTTTGTCTGTTTTGCTAGCAAAATCCAGCATTCTTAATTAATTATGATTCAGCATCTGGCATTCAGTATTGAAAAAAATTTCCCTCACCTGATCAAGGTCATGATACCTCCCTCTCTAATAGCATTAACAAATTTTCCTTTCCTTCTTTTGCTTTATAGATCAGAAAATCTCAATATGGACACTTCAAGAAATTTGGCATTAATCCAAAGAAAAAGGTTGCAAGTTTTCCTGTCACAGAAAATGGTCTTCTTCGACCAGGTGTGAAAAAGGAAACTATATATTTTTTTTAATTTTATTACTAATTTGTCCAGGTATAAAGGAGGAAAATGTATTTTTAAATTTTATCACTAATTTGTCTGGTTTCATTGCTGATTTTGAGATAATAAAATACTGATAGAGAAAGGAAAGTCACCTTCTGGAAGTGAAAGGTACCTGACCTGCACGCAAATGAGTCTACTTCATAACTGATATTTGGTTTGAGTTTGTTTGTTTGTTTTTTTTTTTTGGTTCTAATTTTAACAGGAACACCCCTTTATGCAGCTCACTTCTATCCTGGTCAGCATGTTAAAGTTCAAGGAGTCACGTAGGTTGCTTTCTTTCAGCCTTAAATTTAAACATCTTTTTCAAGTTGATTAGACCACACATAAATTACTGTATATCTGTATTGGGAAACTGTTCAACCTCTGCTTTTGAACTCATTGAAGCACTGCATGTAAAAGCTGTGAGATTAATCCAGAGACTCCCTTCTTCTTTGGAAGATCATGATGTAATAAAGAAGGTTCATTGACAGAACATCAGCAATATCTATAAAAAGAGACTTGCTTTAGAAATGTTTCAAATTATAAACCCTGATGGATGTCATAGATTATCTCATATGTTTAAACAAGTGATCTCTGTCAGAAAAGACAAACTAATTGAAATGAATACAACAACTTCAGAGTTTGGTAAACAATCTTTATTCTTCAGAGGTCCAGTTACCTGGAATAATCTGGATAGAGAAAAGAAATGCAAAAAATATGAATTCTTTTAAGTTAGCTCTAAAAAAAATCAAGATTGATGGAAACTATTAGTTACATAAAGGGACAATGCAATAATTTGAATAGGAGAACTGAAGAGTTTACACACTATTGAAAGTAATTATTTTTTAAAATCAATTACTTATTTATTAGATTCATATTTATATTTGATTATTTATTAATAATTATTTATGAGATGATCTATATTTTATACTTCATAAAAACTTTTGTGATTGTTGTTAGGTTCTCTTTTTTTAAAATATTTTAGCACGTAGTTAGGAGGTCCACATCAGCGAAAGCTGCCCTTATCATGATGTCTATCTATTATGTACTTTTTACAGATTTATCCAATGTAGCTTTCAGAATTTATGTATTGGCCTTTAAATTTTGCTGGCAGCCACCCTTTTCCCAGCTTATGAAATTTGCCTGCAGCCACAGTTTAGCAACATTCTTTCAAATACTGCTTGAATTTTCCTTTCTGGTAACATCATGCCCTCTTTTTTTGCTCATCAATGAAGAATTGACTGGGGATTTCAAGGTGTAATGAAAAGATGGAAGATGAAAGGCCAACCAGCTTCTCATGGCCAGTCAAAAACACACAGGAAAATGGGAGCAACAGGAGGAGGGCAGGTATGAAACACAGGATAAAAATCTTCTTTAACTCCCGAAAGTGATTGACACGTAACTTCTCTCTACAACATCCATACATTATCCAGCAAACTGGTGAAGAGAATACTCAAACTGATCTGGTAGAAGTCGTTATCTTGATCTAACACCAAATTCTTTTGATTAATTTACAAGGAAATGTGTAGCAGCTAGTGGGGAGAATTGAAAATCAGATCTTGGGAGTTAAAAGTTTTAAGTAACAGGTCATTATTTGTCACTGGGGGTAAGAGTATTTTGGTGGTGTCACAATAGTTACTGATCCCTCTTTTACACTCTGTATTGTTTTTAGTCTTGGTCCATTTTCTACTGTCCCCCCTTTATACTCTGATTATTGGTCCCCGCTCCATTCCCCCTGAAACTATTAGATGCCCCATATACCCCCTAGTCTCCTTCCCCCCCTCCCCTGGGCAAAAAATAATTTCTGGTCTCTTATTATAGAAGAGCTTGCATGCAGAAGTTTCCTCTCAGGTTATGTGCTTAAGGCATTCAAGTCTTCTTTTTCAGACAAGATATGTTATTCACAGTTATATTTTGTTGTAAGCAGTAACCACTCAATAAGAAGCACTGAATTACTTTTCTAAAGCATAAATAACTATTTTTCTCATTTCAAACTCAGGATCCTGGAAGAATCTGGCCTGGAAAGAGGATGGCTGGTCACATGGGAAATAATAGCTGTACATTCATCGCTGTTAAAGTAATTTGAACAAGTAGTGTCAATATGAAAACCAATAGAATTAGAATAGAGTCTTTCAGTAGAAAAAAGGGCCTTAAAGAAAATGAAATAATGAACCTATGTACAATAACTTTACAAATTATAAGCTTTATTTAATATGCCTTCTTTTAAGAATCAACACCAAGTACAACTTTAAAGAAATTTTTCCTTTTCTGTTGCAGATTCTTCGTATCAACACCAAGTACAATATTCTGTATCTGCTGGGAAATTGTCCAGGCAAAGAAGGAAGCTTCCTTACAATCCAAGATTCTTACAAGCCACACAACCACCCGCCTCCCTTCCCTACTTATTTCCCTGATCCCCAGGACCCCCTCCCTGAGGATATGTTTGCAGATGACGTACAACAGTTCAATGAGACTATACTTTTCACCAAACAGGATCAAGCTAGCAAAGCTTCACAGAAAAATGCTTGAAAATATTTAACAACAGTTTACTGGTTGTTTACCAAGTCTATGAGGGGTTTGCAATCAGAACTAAGAACCAAACAACACCTAATCACTGTGAATAAGAATGATACAAACCATGCATTAAAAACAACTACAAGTAAGATCTGTGCTGGGTGTTTACAGATTTTTGACCTCTAAAAAACTATTCACATATACCGTGTGAATTTTAAGAGTTGGAAAATGTAAGGAAAATAAATTTTCAAAGATGGGAAGTTTGAAGTTTCTTCCTTGATGTAACGTGTGCATAACTGAAGTGTCAGAGCTGGGTGGGGTAGTTTCCCATTTCTTTTGCCAGTATGCCTCTCAAAGCATTTCAAGGAACATGAAATAAAATTTGGCGTGACAGGACTTTCATTTCAAGTGAGATTACTTTCAGGGCAACTTGACCGTAAACCCTTCTCAAATTGATACCTTTGATTTTTGGTTCATTGGACCATTAACTGCCATGTGAAGATGGTTTGGCTCAGACTGATAGAGCCCAAGAAGTACTTCCAGCAGGGTGGCATGTGGTGTTGTGAAGCTTATAATTATAAGCTGTTAGTTAAAATCACCATTGCAATTACAAATTGCAATTTTTCACCCTGATTACTTCTAGCTCCTGGCTGAACACATCAAAGACTACCTCTACTAAATTGGATTTTTTTCAAATGCTTTTTAAGGGTTACCCTGCACTCTTCAGGATATGGTTGATATCACAAGTTCCTAAGGGGATTTAGTACTTTGGGTTGGTGACATGGTTCCCTGCCCTGCTAGTTTGGGGAACATTGGGCAAGAAGCAGTTTGACCACTATCACAATTAAGAAAATTTTATTGTTGCTTCTGTCTTGCGGCTTTGAATCTTGAAAGCTTCTTTCCTGGTTGGGATGTACTTGACTGTTCAAAAAAAGTGTAAAATCAAGAGCATCTGTAAGTGGTCTGTAAAGTCTACATAGATTAGACTGAACTGAGAGTGATTTTCTCAGGAGATGTAAAAAATGATATTTTCATACCTGCAGTTGAGAACTCTCTTGTCTGATCATCTGCACAGTAGCCTTCTCAACTACACTCCCTGTGAATGCCTGATCAGGGTATAGGCAGACAAAGAAAGTTATTTGGTATCAACACATACTTTAAAATATGCACTTTGATAAACTGACATTGGGGTGAAGAAAATTAAGATGTGTTTTTGTAGTCATCCATCACAAAACCCTAATTCTAGAGACACCAGTGCTTGGTTTTCAGAATCAAGAATATCTACCTTGAACTCAAATTTAAGTTCTCAGTATAAGCATGGAATTGAGTCATCATTAGACCAAGTAAGTGCAGAGCAGATGTATCATCACTAGTAGTAAAACTACCCCAGAGAGTCAGTCAACTTCAACTGATTCTTTCACTTGGTATAGAATAAGGTAACTAGAAATATTAGGTACATCCTAAACTCTCCTCCCCTCTCTCCCCTCCCCCCCCTCCCCTCTACCCTCCCCTTGCCTCTCTCCACCCCTGCACACACACCCTCATGTAGTTTCTTTACTGGTACCATTTTATACTCTTAGGTGGAGAGGGTAATGTAAAAATTGTGTTGTGCCAAAAATGCACACATCACCCACCCCAGGTTCACATGTAAATCCAGTCCCTCCATACTGAGAGCCAATGCACTATGCATTGTGCTAGCAATTTGCCCAGCCCTCATGCAAACTTTTGAAAATTGAATCAAGAACAAATACAAGTGATAAACTCTAAGGGCACAGGGCAATAACCACCACTGTGGGCTGAATTCCCGCCCTTTCCTGAATCAGCTCTGCAATCTTCTAGAGGGTGAGCTAATTTACTACTCAACAACAATCATTCAAAATTCAACACCCTCCCAACTAGCCTAGTTAATCCAACTAACCTTCTGAGAGTTGAAGTCTTCTGTCTGCACCTTATCTTTGACAATATTAGCAGGAGATTGTTGCGCAGTAACAGATGTATCCTCTACAAAGTCTTTTTTGCCTTTTTCTTCAACAGAGGGCTTTCTTAAAATGGATTTTAATTCTCTTTTAGAAGTGAACTGTGAGTAGATGTCTGCTGGGCTTGTAACGGTGAGCTTTTCACAAGAATCTTTGGGAG